CACACACACACACACACACACACACACACACAAACACACACACACACACACAAACACACACACACACACACACACACACACACAACCAATGAAGACGTTTGATTTTGCTGCATGCCTCCTTAGGAAAGGTAGTTCTCCCTGTATCACCATCTTCACCCGAGTAGAGCGTACGGTCATTATCGCTGTCTGTAGACTGAAAGTTTCCCTAAGCATAGCTAGAATGACCATACGCTCTACTCCAGGGCTGTTGGAGAACTCGGAAACGACAATGTGGATTGCCTCGCTGTTGCTATTTGACGAGCAGTCGTTCTCAAAGTTCCAATTGTAAAACCTCTTCATCTTTCTTTCTTTTCTTCTTTTTTAAAGTTTTTCTCATTTTCTCATTTTCTTTTAAAAATTTAAACCAGGACTACCTTCAACACTTGGCGCCAAGTCGCAAAGGAAACCTTGGCGGCTGCTGATATTTTCATCACCAGCTCCCAGCCTCCAAATTCGAATATCGGGGCCTGCCAACAAAACGTCAAAGGTAGTGGTCCTTTAAAAGCCTCCTTTGTTTTCTATTTCTTGAATTTTCTTCTTCTTATTTTTTTGTTGGCTACGGGGTTGAGAGGAGGGTGGAAGGGCGGGGCGCATGTCTTTCATGGTTCACACTTGTTGTTTGACAGTGGGCATACCAGGCTTCTATTGTATCGATCGGGATCCTGTTGTATATAGGCGATGGGGTTGGATGGGTACTGTTATGTAACCGATTGAAACAACATCCACAGTGATCTCACACGTTCCCATATACACGCATGCAGATGTAGAGCAGACTCGAAGGAGGCGCATCCACACAAAACCGGAGTGAGATATGCAGCAAAAGCTCATCACACGTTGAAGAATGCAGAAACAAGTCAATTCTGAAATTACTAATTAGTAAATTACCCCCGTCCTCCCCAATCAATCCAAAAGACTACTTTTATTCCAAGAATCACAACCGCGTTGTCAACAACCCCAAACAACCAATATCGAATGTTCAACGAAGTATCAGGTAGTCTTCTTCCTCCTCCCCACCTCATCACCCTGGCTATGGCTGCTGTAGCAGCAGAATCCCCAAACTGTCACCCTGGAGCCAATCTGAACTAGCATTCCCCGACTATGGCAGTGCCAGCTCAGCGCCCGCACGGAAATGCAGCGCTGGAATCCTGATGAAGAAGCAGACGACCAATCCAGTACTTGGGAGAAGATGGTTCCTAGTGAGGAGGAGCGCCGAAACAGTTTCCAAACGGGTATGATGGCAGCGCCCCAACACTCCACAACACAGTCCTTTGGAAGCTGTTATGCAGTGCTGCGAAACAGCAGCAGCGTGCCGCTCAACTTCGGGCCCAACTCCAGGTATGGCTGGGCTTCAATAAAGAAGATGACCTGGTCCAAAATAGCGCTACCCCGGACGGGCAGAGTTTCCCCAACAAAAATAATGTGGAAAAGACCCGACAGCCTTCGACAGCACTGTTTTTCTACTTCGACCTTGGACCCTACGACCTACGGCCCGTCAAAAGGCAAAAACTTACGGCCTATGGAGAGACAGTAGAAAAGGAAAAAATGGAAGTCCTAGTGGTTCTAAGCCTACAGACAAGAGAGCCTAACAACTAACAGGCCGAGGGATCAAGCCCTGGCGGGCTCAAAACGACAAAGAAAACTAACAAACGACCACTGGCAGGCAGTTAGTGTACACCCGCTGTTACCTGCAAGTTCATTAAGTACAGCAAAAGGGTGGGTACAGTAACTGCGAAGAGGGTACTGATACTTGCAATTTTCTGGATGCATCTGACTGTACTCGTGCCTAGATTCAATTGGAAAAGTCTTAATATGAGTACAATTCACTGACAGGCTGACAGCATCATCGAACACTACTTCTACCAAGGCTCGAGAGAGAGCAGAAAGAAAGGGAAAGAAAGTTGAAGTCGACGCTTGGTGCAATGGCAACTTTAAATTGCTTGAAAAACTTGAAAAAAGGCAGGTGGCATTCGGGAGTTGAAACATCAAGGTTCAGTCAAGGAATCCTATGTTGAGTATGGCATTAGAGACAGTTGATGGAATTTGCAAAAGAAAATGAATACACTTACGCGACATCTCCAAGACAACAAACTCCACAGGTGCTTGCTCATTATCCGTCTTCTTCGCCTGCTCGAGTGACTCCACAATCAACTCCCTCACCCTGAAGGGAAGCAACAAGACAACGCAAAGCATAAAGCGATGCCCTATACGGTTATACCCCTAGACGAAAGGGATGGAAAGAATAATAAGAAGTCGAAAATACGGAAAGAATTCCAAGCCAAAAAGCAAATTACCACTGATGGTACTGATGTAAGCTAGTAAGCCTAATACTAGGCTAATAGCCTTCTTTTTTTTTCCACTTTTGTTCGTTCTTAAAAGAGGATGAGAATGCTGCAAGACTGTAAATTTGTAAATACTAGTGAAGTATTGAAAGGATTTCATCATTTCACGCTCTGAACGGCCTGCGTGGGCCCAGAGTCCCAGTTGGTCCCATTCCCTGGTGGTCTCGGTCCCACTAGATCCTATAGGCCGAGTTCCAGGCTAGGGTCTGTAGGTCCGGTAGGCCATAGGTTGAAACATCGTAGGTCAAGTCGGGCCGGTACCGAACATTCAGGTCGTTAAAGTCCAGTGTGGTACCCGACAAGAAAAGTCCAGTCGCAAGTCCAATTTGCAGCAGCGTCCCAGGAACAGTATGGAGCATACTGGACAGACAAAAATCATGCAGCATCGTAGGTCAAGTCGGGCCGGTACCGAACAGTCAGGTCGTTAAAGTCCAGTGTGGTACCCGACAAGAAAAGTCCAGTCGCAAGTCCAATTTGCAGCAGCATCCCAGGAACAGTACGGAGCATACTGGACAGACAAAAATCATGCAGCAGACAGGCCACGGGCGACTGGTACCGGTTTGAAGCAGGCCAAGCAAGTCCGAGCTCCTATTTATAGCTGCTACAGTGCAGCGCTGCAGTCAGTTGTTCAATCGCTAATTGAGCAAGCGCCGCTGGCTGCTTGTGCGACTATGCGGCCTTGGGCAAGAGCCTGGAGGATGGATAAGGCGCCTTGGGAGATGCCATAGCTAGGGTTGGCGTAGCTAGGGTGGCAGCCATAGTGGCCGAGGAGGAAGAGAGTCTGAAGCGGGTGTATTCAGGGATACGATCTAAGGTTAGTTGAGGGTGTGAGGCGGAGAGAGAGAGAGAGAGAGAGAGAGAGAGAGAGAGAGAGAGAGAGAGAGAGAGAGAGAGAGAGAGACAGTGAGAGAAGAACGTGGGCACGAGAGAGAGATGGAGAGAAGGGAGTCGGGTACTTTCCTGTTGGAGAAGGCCGGATGCGCTGAGTGGCAATGTCCGCTGGTTACCTGAACCTTCAATTTGTATAATATGACAATTTGTTGGAGTTGCTCAATACATTCTGATTCAGCGTTTCCATTCTCTGGTGTGGTGTGAATCTACGCATGAGTTTTCATATTTGCGAAAAAAAGAAAAAACAATGCCACTCATCGGTGTAGCCAGCTGTACAGACCACATCGGGGTCAGACATCATGTTTGTCATCAGTGGCAAAGACTGAGGAACAGGACTTGAATACTGGATGCAAGCATGGAAAATAGGGGAGTGTATCCAGAGGGTGTGTTTCCTCCACGTACTCCATTAATATCATTATTTAATTAGTAAATACTGGATTATTTAATTAGTAATTAATGTGGATGCTGAGGGTGTGCAGCACTGTGTGTAGAGCAGGCAGTCTTCTCAGGGGAGTATATTGGACACAGAGCTGTTTGGACCATGCCATCAAAATGTTTGCAACAGAGGCAGTGCTTGACATTCACACCAGTGAAACTCCATTGTGTGTGTGCGTGTGTGTGTGTGTGTGTGTGTGTGTGTGTGTGTGTGTGTGTGTGTGTGTGTGTGTGTGTGTGTGTGTGTCTTTGTGCGCGTGTGTTATGAATTATCACCACAACTTCCCCTATTCCATGTGTCGATCCAAAGTCATAGCAATTTTATCTCTATTGCAGACAATGAAACATGCTTAAAATGAGCCAATCCAGCAATGAAACAGTTGCTTGTAAAGTCAACATCTATCCAAAACCACCGGAATCTTACCTTTATACAAGCAAGGAATCTCACCTTTATACAAGCAATGCAACACACTTGACATGGGTCATCCCAACAGTAAAACCAATGCGTTCCACGATAAAATTGAATAAATACGTTATATGAACTTATCGTTTTCTTCATTATGTTTTCATCAACTAACATTGGGGAGCCTCCCATTTTCTTGTTTTCGCAGCTCCCCTTTTACTGTGCCTATCACATACAAGGCCGGCCACGTTGATGATGCATGCACGGCATTGCACGCATGTGTATGTATGTGTGTGTGTGTGTGTGTGTGTGTGTGTGTGTGTGTGTGTGTGTGTGTGTGTGTGTG